ATGAAAACGTAATCCTAAAGCGGCTTGAGCCTTACTTTCAACTTCTTCCTGCTGACCAGTATGGATTCAGAAAAAACCTCAGTACAACAACTGGTTAGAATTATTGAATCCGCCGGTGCGGTGTTCCGAAAGCTTTCGACCGTGTCTGGCAATTAATTTAGAAGAAAATTCATTTTGAGTTCGATTACGAAAATGATGATAGGAATAATAAATCAAATACTAATGATTTTAAAATAGAACTCACAAAGGGCGATGTAAATATTCCTGATACCCTAACTGTAAGAACTTTCTTCTTTCACTCTCTTTTGAAAGATTAAGTAATTCTATTTAGATACTGTGAGCAAAGTTATTTTGCGAAACCTAGACAACGATCTTATACGATCTATCGTATTTATTTAAATGTAATGTTATGTATGCCTATTATTTTTACAATACCTGTTATTATATCAAATTGGAAGAGAAACACGAGAAACAGATTAAATTTTGGGTCGAACTATCGATTTCAAGCGCAGTCAAATATAAGTTCATTTTCTTTAGCCTTAGAAAAAAAAAAAAAAATGATGTAGATATTCAAAACTACTCCAAACTAAGTTTTTTTCCCCCTAACTTTAAAAAGCTGTTACTATTGTTATCTGACAGAGAATTCTCCCACTGCGTATACAGATGAAGAAATGATAATGAATGCCATAGTTTTTACTTCCTTGTACGAAGTAAAAAGGAAGTATTGTAATCGCGAAAAGTTTCAGGCAGCATATTTCAACGAAAATATCCATTTTGACCGCTATCGAATGCAATTTAACGATGTTTTTGCGTGATGTCTGTACGTAAGGACAGAATAAAGACTCTTTCCTCCAAAAAAATTATAAAATTGCTTTTTAAAATTAATTCTGAAGAGAATTTTTCGTGGCGTCTGTACGAACGTATGTCGTGAGTACGTACTTACGTTTTTGAGTAATGCGAGATAGGTACTGAAATTTTGTATATAGGACTGCTATAACATGTAGATGTGCACCTCGTATTTTGGTTGCAATCGGCCGCACCAAACGTATATAAATATATTTATATATATATCCACTCCGTTACCCGGCTCAGTGATCTCAGTTTCTTTACTCTTATATGTTTGTAAATTGTACATTTTTTGCTTTAAAAATGATTGTAGTATGTTGTTTTATCTTCCGGTTAAAAGTTTTTATGCCTTTATAAATCTTATGCAATACTTTTAGAATTATCAACAATTTAAAGTTGTCTAAGTGCCGCTAAGCTTTTCTTTATGGCGGCCATTGATGTTTACATTGGGAAACAGGAGACAGTGGATTGTTGCCAATCTAGAGAACTTAGCTTCGCAACAACAAAGATAACGCATTCATTTATTATTTCCAATTAAATCATGCGTAATTCTTTCTGGAAATTTTTTCGAGGAAATAAACGTTTAAGATTTACTTCGTAATTTTTAATATAGATATTTTGAGTTTTTATGTATTTTTGCCTTCTCGCGAAGTGAGAACTGAATTAATAAATGAGAAATACTCAATCGTCTGTGAAAAAAAACTGTTTCTTTTTTTGTTTTGTTTGCTTAATTTCTTTTATACATCATTCTAGCTTTATTATAGTATTTGAATAGAACATGTGGCAACGATTAGATAATTGTATTCTTTAAATGATATAAATTTTGTGCATTATGAGTTATAATATGAACGAAATATATAAGTGAACTGTTATATAATTATTGGATTAGAAACAGTTAACTTACTTTCTGTTATATAATTTTATATAAGTTAACTGTTATATAATTATAATACTGTTAAGCGAATTTAGCGCCAGAGTGTCGCTATGGTAAACAAATAATAGAGTGAATTTTAAAGAATGCATTTATTCTATTGTGGTTTATGCGCTGTCGGCGAAGTAGATTTAATCCAATCCAATAAGTTTAAATGAAATACAAGAAAAAATGCGTATAATTTAGTATTCCGTACAAGGAAGTCATGTGGTGTACACATCAAATTTTTCTGTTCATGATTTAATAATAAAGGCTTAAGGAAAAAAACCCTGCGACTTTTAAGAAAACTTAGCATATTTTATCTATTGTTTTTTAATTAATAAATAAGTATTATTAACTTTTTAAACGCTATAAGTGCTTACAATAATGCCATCTTCTGTTCTAAATTAAAGCTATTTTTCCCGCATAGTTTTTTAAAGCTGTTTTTTCAAATTTAAAATGTTTATTCTTTTGCTGCGAATTGCGTCTTTACAGTCAGTGTCAACATGACTACGTCATCACTCCTTACTTTCTGTTTCATGGGGTAAAGCTCCATATGCTCTAATTCCTGAGCTCGACGGTTTATTTTCTCTCTATCTTTTCAATTTGTATTATTGCTAGCACAGACTGTCTTTCTTGCGAAATTTATTTTTTATGTTGCGCATTCGCGCATATTTTTAAATAAACGCCATGGGTTAAAGAGCAATAACACTGCTAGGTTAAGATTTTGCCCAGTTGTATGCTTTTGTACCACCCACGGTTTCACGGGTCAGCTGTCAGTTTTTTTTCTTTTTTTTTATTATTATCCAGCTCAGAGCTAACTTCGGAGTATCAATAGATCCTGCCCGCTTTGCTCTTTTGATGCTCTTTAAACTATGGGGTGCTTAACGTTATTAATATTTTGAAGTGGTAACTACTGTTTAAGGCCGGTTCTAGACCTTTTGCTGCCCGTTTGCTCACACTCCACAAATTCAAAATTCTACCCCTCGGTTCCTTTCTAAATTTTTAAAATTTTACCGCCCTTGAATTCCACCGCCCAGTGCGGCCGGACTGGTTGCACATGTTCTGGCTCCAGCCCTGCAACTGATTGTACTTTGTTATACTGAGAAGAGCTGTACGAGTACTTCTGTGGAAAGTTCGGGAACTGTAAAGTGTTTTCTTTTGGTGGGCAAATAAATTTTATCAAGCTATCGTTGGTTCTGCGGGCATACAATTCATTACCAATCTATACGCTCGCAAGAATATAATTCATACCTGTTCAACGCATGCTACACATGAGTGTAAATATTTGCCATTTATTTCAAAAAGTATAGTACTGCTCATGTTACGCTTTGATAAGATTATTATTATTATTATTTACTTCTATTCGTTGCAGGTTTAATTGATTTTCTGTATATTTCATCTATGTTACCTGGTTAAGGCGCCATGTTTGCCGTACCTTTTTGCAAATTTTATTTTATTCCGCTTTATTTTATTCCACTTGTACATTCATTGTTACTTATTAAATGGTTCTACTCCTTAGAAGAATATTAAATCTTGACTCATGTTCATATACTTACTCCGTAACGTTAGTTATTGACCACATTCTTAGGCACCTCTTATACCTGCCCGAATAGTCATTTTTGCTCTTTTTAGAGGTATTTAATTAGGAAAATTCACTGCTGGTGGACTACGTTGTCTGTACGCTCAGGCTTTGGTTAACTGCCCTAAAAGAGATGTTCATCAAATTTGGAACGGAGCTGTAAAGTAAGTGTGTTGGGAATACGTAAAACAATTAGTGAAGTTCTGCTTTCCTATCTACTTTTCCCTGTCCTGTAAAATTAAAATGCGAAACAGCTTTGATTTACCTTAAATTTAATCAATTTGTTAAAGAACCAAAATATAGAAAACGCACTTCTTAATAATTTAAAGCTTCATTTCACTTTCATAGCATGTTTAAGGACGTTATAACTATGCTTGTATTCACACACACGCACACATGCACACAAACAAACAAGCCAAAGAAATGCACTTTTATTCCCACCACAACACACTAATTTACAGAAAAAGCACACTATTTATAAGACATTGCATTTGGGCAAAACCATCACAGATGTAATATGACATGTGCCTGCTGCACTCATGTCTTTCTCATTCCTCGCTCTCACTGTTCCTTCACTGGGCTTTTTTTTTCGTTGGTTTGTCTCGTCACTCCAGTACAAGGACTGAAAATGCTGTGACATAATCATGACTCAACAGCATCCGTTTGGTACATAAAATTAACAAAGATGCAGATTTTTTTACTCCTTGTGAAGAGAAACCTGTACTTGTAGCCTTCGAAATGAATTGAGTTCTTGACTAAGCCTGCACCAAAAGGAAGGCTGATGCTCTGCTAACTTTACGTTTTACTTTGACTTGTTTCTCTTCTGCTTTAGTACAACTGATAATTTTTAGAAACATTTGCGGCCTTGTTGTAATTAAAGAAATGATGCTTCTAATACCCATTTATATGAGTAACTGAAACAGAATTCTTTATTTTAGAAATTTTATAAAGGTTTAAATTTTTTTATGTTTTTGATGGTTTTTAATAATAAATTATTCTTTAAGGCACCAGAGTTTAATATAAAGTTTTCACAATGCCTTAAAAATAATAAAACAAGGCAAACAGTTTTTCAGAAATATTTAAGTATCTGTCCACTTGAAGCTTTTACTATCGTGATCCTCCTATACTACAAGATCTTATTTCATTTTTGACTAGAATATTTCTACTGGCTTATCAAAAGCTACTATTATAGACTCAGATTCCGCTATGTTTAACCTTTTGGTGGAAAAAGAAAAATTATTAAAGGAAACCTTAACAGAAAAATAAAGCAAGTTTGTCCTAAGACCGACTAAAATTTGTTTATATGCTGTTCAAATTATCTACTTTCTTTCTCCATCGTTTACTACATACTTTTATTTAATTTCTCAAAATAGATTATTTTGGGATAATTTCATTTTTTTTCAGTAAGCAAAGAGATATCTGAAGACAAATTTAAATGTTTATATTCCAGAAAGGAAGGCATCTATCTCATTTCCCCATTTCTTATCCGAAGGAAGGTTTCTGCCTCAAAACTTATCAGTTTATTCTCTGTATCCAATCAGATTCACTTATACAATGCACATACGCTACCGTTAAATAGCTTTTATTTTTCGCGTTGTCACCCTTACGGTACTTGTGAAGAATCGTTCAACTGCTAGATTTATTCAAGTGAGTTGAATCCTTTTAATTTCTGAATGTGAATTTAATCGTAAATAAACTTGACGTATACTATTCATGTACATAATATGCTATGATTATTAATATTCAAAGCACCGTTTCAAAATTTAACGAATAACGGCGCAGCGATCGCTGTGTGGCGTAAGTTCAAATCTAAGGGAGAAAGGTGGTATTTGTAAGTAAATATTTTGATTTATCATTTTCTCTCAGTTGGATGAAAAATTTTTAGATGTTTTTGAAATCTCGTTTTCTGTTTTAATAGATAAATTTAAAGAGTAATGTTTTCTTGATATTCATTGTATGCGATATTATGTTTTGTGGCTCTGTATTGTATTAGCAATTGTTATTATTAGGCCTAAATTTTTGTGTAAATGTTTGGGCTGTAAATGAAGGAAATACTTTTTTTTTTAGATTAAATAATCTTTTTTTGTAATATTTATTATGTGACAATCATAAGCAAATGGTATTTATATAGATGATATCTTTGCTTACTTGGTGTTTCAAATTTTGTTGTGTGCTTGAGAGTGTGTAATTGAAAATGGCGGTGTTATTGTAGAGAGATGCGAATGATCAGAAGATTTTTGCATTGCATTAAGGTATTTATTTGGTTTGTTCAAACGTATTCCCTTTTATTAAACTTTAGAAATGAGAGGAATGTCAGTTGTAGTAACATTTTTTTTACTCGTTCCAAGTTATAATATATGACTCGTTGTATCACGCTTGGCGACTGTTGGCGAGTTTTTGAGCGTGTGTTTGTTGGGAATTTAAGGTGTTCGTGTATTATGCACTTTGTTGATACACATTTCGAGATGAAACGTTATTTTATTGGCTTGCCTCCTTCGTTCAGTGACTTAACGTACTTTTTGCATTCTTTTTAATTAAATAAATTAACTATAATCGGATGTTACTTTATGGAAATATTTTAAAATTATTTAATTTAAAGGTTAATTTGTAGTTTGCAATGTTGGGTTGTATAAAACATTGAAATTTCTTTTAATATTATACGCAAAGGCTGTCACTGTATCGGTAAAATTTCAATGACGTAAGTTGTCTGTATTATGTTGAGTAATGTTTTATATTCTTAATATAGCGTTTCATTTATTATAATTATATTAAATATGTAATTGGAATAAAAAGTTTTCAAAGTTTTTGTGCAGTAATTATTTAGTACAATTTTAACAGTTGATGGGAATTTATTTTTAGAAGAGATACTCTTCTGTTAAAGGTAACTGGTTCAGAAATGTATATATTTGTTCATACATACATAATGCATGTGTGAATACGTATATACATATGTATTTATGAATGTAATTGTCTACATGCACATATATGCACATACATATGTACATTTTTTAATCCAGTCCCAATAACAGAAGAGTACCTTAAAATATATGAACATTTATGTTTTATTATTATTCCAAAAATCTGCAATTTTCAGCCATGTTATTTTATTTAGATCTAGCTGTAGAAATGATAATCTAAATATATGTGATCATTTTTTGATATCTACAAATATGATTGCAGTGGTGAAATGATTCTTCCCTTTGATATAAAGTGAAATAAAATTGTTACTGGGGCATATTAATTTTTTTCCAGTATTTGTCCCTTATGTGTATAATTTACAAAAGTTCAAATCAGTACATCAATATAATGCAGCATTTAAATAAGGAAGCCGAGCCCAAGTTAAGTTTTCTGTGAGGAAAAGAATTTAAATTGAGGGATTCAATTGTGGCTGAAAGATGCTTGAGAAAATTTCTTTAATTTTTATTGTAACTTTTATAGTAGATTTTTAAGAGTTTTTATTTGACATCTGTTGCAAATTTTGCCCTTAAATTTGAAATTTTAGATTTCAGCCATTTGAAAGATTGTTTTTAAAAAAATATCTTGGTATTGTTCTGAGCATGGTAAGAAGAGAACAAAATTAGAATAGAATTTCATCAAATTCATAAAAGGGGAGACTGGAAAAGTTATATCCTCTTATCCTTTTTAATAAAATGTTTTGTTTGTTCAACGTTTTAATTATCAGTAAGTTATTAAATAGTTACTAAACAGTGAAATTTTCAAAGTAATTAAACTTCTAGTTTGGTAGTACTAAAATGTATATATTAATATACATTATATACATTATACTTAATTTATAATTTGTATTATAGGTTTTTTATTAATTATGTATAATATTATGTATAATTTATTAATTAGTGGCATAAAAGTGATAAAATATTTTAGCAGTTTTTTGGCCATGTCTTTTATATAAGCACAAATAAACAATCAGTAAACATAACCACAAAATTGGCACTTAATTTGTGAACCTTTTCAAAAGAGTTTATCAGGTATATCTGCATTTAATGCCTGAAACAAATAAAACAATCCTCCAAAAAATTAATTTCTTTGTCACTTGCACTTTTTCCAGGGGGGGATTAATAATATTTTTTTAACCTGTTGCTGTGTAACTAGCAAGCAGTGGATTAATTTCAAAGTTACAGACTTAGTTATACTGGTGTGCATACTACGAACATTGAAAATCCTGACACCACTTAGATTTATATTTAAGGGAATTTATATTGTGTTTAGTTCAGAAAGATGACTGTTTTGTTGCGATTTTAAATGTTAGGCAATTTTGGGTGCCAGAGCTATTAATTTCAATAGCCTAACTAAATAAGTAAAAGTCTGTTCCTTAAAACATCCACTTAAAAGATTGGCAAGATATCTGTCAACCTTCAAGGTTAATACAAAATATATAAGGACCATTTTATTTAAATATTTCTTAATAATTTAGAAATAATTAAAACACAGAAAAAAATATTTCAGAAAGCAACGTAATAAAGAGGAGCTGAACCTTAAAACAATCGCAGTATACGATTGTGCTGTTCAAATAATAAATTATCTATGCCAGCAGTTCTCAACCTTCTGACTATTCTGACTAATGCGTACAATCGAAACAAAAATTGAAAACCTTTAGTACCACCATTACAAAGTACTACTATCACCACCACTCTTGAACAAAGCTCAGATCGCATAAATTTACAAATGTTAGAGAAAAAACTCAATTAGAATGTTTTGTTATAATTTTTGAATCTTATAGTTAAAAAATACTTTGCTTCTTTGCGTACCACCGGTTGAGAATCCTCGATCTATGCTTAATAGCTACAGTTTTAAGTTCTTGATGTAGTGAAAATATTTGTAATATTCGCAAGTGAATTGAATTACCGTGTTGGGAGAGTTATGTCATGCTTGCTATTTTTAAAATTTGTATTCGATTAAATAACATTTTGTGTGTTAAATATATTCTGTCCTGTAATGCAAGATTTTTATGTATTATTAGATTTCAGATTTTGAAATAAATATATCCTCTACAGTTGTGTATGAAGATCTTCTATAATGCCTCGTAAAACTAGTCAAGCTGTCAAAAAAGATGCTGTTGCTGCTGATACCAAGAGTGAAGCAGTAAGAATAGATTATGTATATTTAATATTTTGTTTTAAATTTCATATTTATTTTCTCTTTTAATCACAGATTATATGGTAAACTTGTTATAAAACATAATTTTAACATTTGGGTGTTTTTCCATTATGTGCCTGCTACACATTTGTATGTGTGTGTGCATGAATCAACAAATGGTTTGGTCCCCAGATGACGTGTTTCTCTTCCACAGGTGCTGAAAAGGCATGGCAGATGCCTAATGAAAAGAACTAAAATGTATTTCTGCGTAATAGTTTCTTAAAAAAAGGCCGATTTTTCGAATACGTATGCATTTTGAAGGCCTTTTTCTTCCTGTGTGCACTAATATGCACTTGTTTTTGAAATGTGTAAATTTGAATTATGCAAGACTAAGTGTAATGCAATATGAAAAAATTACTGTAAATTAAAAAAGTTGAAAAATTTATTAACAGTAAAAATAATGTTATGTATAAATAAATAAAATTCATGTGGATACTAATCTCATTTTTATAAAATAAATGCTATTCTGTTATAAAATGTTGCGAAGAAAATTTCATCTATCCAGCCATCCCATTAAAACCAGAAGAGTCCTTGTCTTCCATATTATTTCCCAGGCTCCTAATACGCAGTGAAACATTGCCTAACGAGCATAATTTGTTCTCGAGTGTTACTCATAATGCAAAGCACTCGTTAAAAGAAGAAATTTTTTCCATAGCTATCGATGTAAAATAGGACAGTGTGTTTCATTCCAAAACGGATACTCAAAAAGATTTATAATGTAATTTGTTATTTTAATGCATCTTTTTTTACAAGAAAGTTGTTTAAATAAGCTGAATAGGAATGGTGTTGAAAGGTTCACGGATTACAGAAACTGGATCTTGATTAGTTTTAAATTTTTCAAGGAGGTAATCCTTTGGCCCTGGAAGATGTGCAGTTGTCTTGTTCATAACCAACAAAATCCCAAGTGGCAAAGATGTGATCTGAAGCATTTTTTTTTTTTTTTTTTTTTCACAGATGGACCAAATACTTCATTGATCCAGTCTGTGAAAAGGTCACTTGTTGAGGTCATCTCCACATGACATTTAACCTGCTCTTCTGGACTTTATATTTCTTATATTTCTAGAAAATTCGTAGATTGTAAATGAGAAGTGACGGTAAATAAGTAACCCAATGGTAAATGAGAAGTTTAATTTTCAAACCGCTACTTGCATTTGCAGAATGAAAATGAGATGATCATTCATTGGCTTCTAGCCCGCCAATGCCTACTCCTGTGTTACAATTTAAAATGTGCTCTGGCAGATAACTCTCAGAATTCAGAAGTTTCTTGAAAACACCAATAAAGTTCTTGGATGATTTTTATGTTTGAGATTGCTGCTTCTGTATACCTCGTAACACTGTAGATGCCAGCTCTTTCGGACCATACATGCCTTGCCATGAATTCTGTTGATGATCCTGACATCTTTTTAATGAGGGTGGCAAAAATGGCTTCGCCTTCTCAAAAATTATGTTTTGGTTTATAAGATCGCCTTGCATTTGCTTCTCGTTGATGCACATAAGGTGCAATATTTTAACATCGTTGAGAATACACGTCCTTTAAATAAAACATGAACATCTTTTAAGAACACCCTTTAAAGAATCTCCTTCATCTTATCATTGGTTTTGAGAACAGTTCAAATCATTGATGTAGACCAGTTATATGTGCATGTTATATCAGTTAGCTCATACTTTGTTCTTGCTTCACACTACTGTGGCGTTTAACTCTTTTTTTGTTTGTTTACTTTGAGGACAAATGTATAAGCAATCTTAGACTTTACACACACATAAATAAATAAATAATGAACAATAATGTGTCTGAACACAGTTTTCACAAGGAACAGTAAGAGGTTAGCTGAATAAGCGATAAGCGCGTACTGATTGATAAATCCCACATGTGATGTCTCCACATCGTTCATTCTGAAAAACATTTCTTGTTAACCTTTCACAACAGGCGTGTCTAGTGTTGTCACCTCTTGGGCTGTCAAAATCCGGGAGAAGGCAAAAAAGGTTTTTTTTTTCAGTCACATTTTAAATAACTCTGCCTCCTTAATCTTGTTTAAAAGTATTTTTTGAGCTGTAGGAGCAAGTACACTCTTGCAAATACTTGTACATTTTGTTCTACCATAAGAAATCGTTTTTGCCAAAGAAGACTGGAAATAGAGTGCTATAACAATTTGTGTAATCCTGGCTATTAATAGTGTGATGGTGTGTAATCCTATGATAGACTAAACTAATTTCAATCACTGATATATTGTTCTGTTCTTCTGAAGATTTCCTCATGAAAAAGTTCGAAACCGCTTGCGATGAATCTCTATTCAAAATTAACGACTGGTGTTTCTTGCTTTGAAAATGTACAGTTAAAGCTCTAGCATCCTCGTACTTAATGTTAACTGTTTTCTGACATATTTTATATTCTCCGTTAAAGTTGTCTCTCTTCATAAGCTAATCAAATTAACCACTCGTCATGAAATGACATCGAATATTTTGTCTTTTTTTGTGACACCTGTTCACTTGCAGAACCAGAATCGTTTTACATTATTATGAAAACATTTAAATAATTTCAAAATATGCACTTGTTTGTGGATAGCTAGCTAATTGCAGACTAAATGAAAGAATGGATTGAAAAATGAGAGGGTGAGGGGAGATGAGGGCGCGTGCATACGATACGCTGGCATGAAACCAATACTCATCCCGTAAGGTGCTTACTCACCACTCAACTTAGATCGCTGCTGCAAAGAATATGTATTGACGTAGACATTCTTTGGCTTCTGTGCGCAATCATGCGATTTTCGATGCTTTCAGCCATTCTGTCCGTTTGCATTGTGTCGTTATTTTCGAGAAACTTGATATTCTGAGAGAATAATATTTATTTTAAATTCCTTCCGGGAGCCGGGAGATTTTAATTTCCACGACTCAATTCCAGGATAGGTGGAAACCCTAGGTGTGTCGTGCATTCTCTGGAAGTGTTATCTCACAGCCAGGTATGTCATATATGAATAACCATTTAAATTCACTGTATCCAGGCATACCACGTATGACTTTTTGGGTAGAACATTTTATTGTTTTGTTGTCCCTAGATGTAGCTGTATGTCTGTTATACACAAATTTATCAAAAGGAAAATGTGTCCAGCTTCATTCCTAAGCAGTGTTTTTTTTTTTTTTTTTTTTTTTTTTTTTTTTTTTTTTTTTTTTTTTTTTTTTTAATTTTTGTATTTTGTTTCATCGTGGCTGTTTAACTGTATCAGTTGATATAAAAAAATGCACCTGTTCTCCATGCTTCAGAATCACCCCCTTATTTGTGTGTGTGATATATCTGAGTAGATGTTCTATGTTTACAGGTTCTATTTATTGCTCTTAAATTTTTTTCTACTGTAAAGTTGAATAATTTGTATCATTAAGCAAAATATTTTTTACACCTAAATGGCAAAACGAAAATGTTATTTAACAGAAGTGTGTATGCAAATGATAAATTAATCCTTTTTTGGCACTGAAGACAGTGGTGATATTTGTGCAGAATTAGAAAGTGATAGTTATAGTGATTTTAATATGGGCATATTTACTTGTTTATACAGTCAAAAGTCGTTAATCCGGACTCGTCGGGACTTCGGCGATTCCGGATTATCGATTTTTCCGGATTATAGATCATCAGTTTAAATCTCGTAAGATGGCATGCACAAATTCTAAAATTAAAAATATGAAACCGTATTTTAGGAAATAAAGAACAATTATGATCTAAAGGGTATCAAAATTTACAAAAAAGAAAAAGCCTTAATATTTATTTGTTTTTACTTTATTAAACATTTCTTTCAAATGTAAGTTTGTTTCGTTTTATGTGATAATCTTTCTCTTTAATTCTATAAAGACATAATTTCTTGTTTAGTTAAAAGCTCGCTGTCAAGTCCCGTAATTGCTGTGCCGAGCCGACTAACTTGTCAATCGAAATTTTTTCCTTTTCACTAACCTCTCTGTCACCTTCTTCATGTCTTTATCCATTTTTTGCAAGCACTTCCACTTTTTTTGGACGGACATTGAGACATACTTCGTTTTGTAGATCCTTTGGTAGCTCCAGAATCGGAATTGACATAATCGAAGACTTTTCTAAAATTGCTCTTACAGTCTGCAAAAAATAATAAGCTGCATCCATTCGAAGATTAAGGAATAACGCAAGCATCAACATTAAACTGAAATAGATAATTGTATAATTTTAAGCTTCGTCCGTTATGCTTATACGTCTTAACGCGCAAGCGAAAACGTATTCTGTACTTGCCACAACTCATATGCGCGTGCACGTAAAGGTCTTACGCGCACGCGTAAACACCTATGCGCATGTGTCAACGTGGCGCTGCGCAGAAGTTTTTTTTGGAGGTCCGGATTATAGATCATTCCGGATTATGGGTGTCCGAATTAACGACTTTTGACTGTATATATTTATTTGAAGTTAGTCAAAAAGTATACATGTGATTTTTTTCTAAGAAAGATTTCTAATAATTTTTTATTAATGTGTTGAGTTGAATGAAATCTGTAATTGGATAATTTAATGATGAAGTTATAAAATGAATTCTGATAACTATGAGTGCTCGTAATGTACTAAGAATTTGGAACAATTGAGCAACAAATTTAATTTTTTTTTTCCAAAGACAGGTTTAGCAGTATGAATCACACAAGACAAAGCATCCTTTTACACTCTTTTGCAAAAAAATCAAAGTGCCATGAAGGAAGTGGTTGTTTTTAATGAAATTGAATATGTGTATAGCTCATACACAGATAATAAAATGATTAAAAAATCAAGGTCATAGTACCTGTTCACGGCTCACAATGGCCCGGTAGTGCATGCTTGAATTCGTCAAGGCAAGGAGTGGTAGAGGTTCCTAATGTCATCCTGCAACACATTCTGCCAGGCATTCATCAGTTGTCGCTCCAGATCTGCAATATTTTGTGTTGTCTGAATCTGGCGGCCTATTTTGTACCAGACATGTCCGATTGGTGAAAGGTCTGATGACCTTGCTGGCCAAGGAAGAGTATCAACCACATGGAGGCAGTCCAGAGATATGCAAGCGGTATGTGACCTGGCATTATCTTGTTGGAAAATGGCCCCAGGATGACGTGCTGTGAAGTCTAATGCAACTGGCCGCAGGATGGTATCAACATATTGTTGACTGTAAAAGATGTACAGAGGATGACTAAAGATGACCTGCTGTCATAAGAAATAGCGCCCCACACCATCATACCAGGGGTTATGGCTGTATGCCTTTATAAAACAAAGGCTGATTGGGACCGCTGGCCCCGTCCTTTTCAGACATGAACACGGTGGTCATCTGCTTCAAGAGTGAAACGGGATTCATTGCTGAACACTGTACAATGCCAGTCTGATGGCAGCCACGATGATCGGCTACGACACAGGCCTCTGTGAGCGTAATCCCTCTCAGACAAGCACCGTAAGGTTGTGGATGGTACCACGGGATGTATACACATGGCTATAGTGCATTGAATAGTCCACAATTATACCGTTGGAGCGGTTCGGGCCTGGCGGATAATCATTATCTTGCCTCGCCTTTGTGCTCCTTGGCTTTCCAGAGCCTTAATTTTGTCAGCAATTTCTGTGTAGCAACCATTGCTGCCAACGTCTTTACATAGCAGCGTATGTACACTGCAGGTGGTGGCCTATTGCTCGGTATGACCACCCAGCTTTACGCAACCCTAGAATGCAACCACATTCGAAGAAGATTAGTTGTCTGTAAGGTTTTCGATATCGTCGTAATGGCATCTTTAGTTGCTTCTTTACGGAATTACAATGGCAACAACAAAAAAAGGTAAATTTTCCGCCTCTGTTACTGGTTTTATACTTTGCGAATTGCACATTAGAAAAGTGCACTATGATTACAGTCTCTGTTCATTGCCTTGGAACTTTAATCATTTGCATGTTTGATCAAGATGTTTTTGCATACCAAATTTCGTAGCGATCACACAAGTCCTTCTTGGAGTTTAGATTTTTTTTCAAAAGTATAGCTCAGTGTCCTGAGAGAGCGGTTCTGCCCATTGGGAACAGTTAAGGGAGTCTTCCCCCCCCCCCCGCCTTCTCATTTTGTTCTGCTTGTGCAAATCAGTAATTATCTGAGGTGCTTGCGAAGCGAAATTTAACTGTATTTCAAAATATCAGTTTTAATTTTTCTGAATTTAGATAATCTCATTCAAATATAGTCTTGAAGAATTATTGGTCACTAAATATCAGAGGGGGGGGAAAGACATGCTATGAAGAAAGTTTTGAGAAGTTCTTAAAAAAACTAACCTTGAATGAAACTTAAATTGTTCAAATTCTATTTTTTTAGTCGTTTTCAATATAATTTTTCTAATTAATTTCTATTCGGATGTGTTTTAATAAATTATAGAGATACTTTAAACATTAACACGAAGCGTTTTATGAAAAACAAAAACAACAACAACAAAAAAAAAAAAAACTTATATTTGATTGCTAAATTTTAATATTTAATTTTTTTATATCTAATGACATATTATTAATTTTATTTTATGTGTATTAAAAATTATTTTGTTAAAGTTTTACATGTGTTGAAGTTAATGCCTGGTGTATTGTAAAATAAATCCAGCAAACTAGAACTGTTTTTAAAAGTTTCAGTAATTCTAGCCTGAGAATGGATATACATAAATTTGTGTGTAATTTTTTAATTATATATATGTTATTTAATTTTATGTATCTATTTGAGAATGCATTAAATACTTTTTCATCTATTGGAAGAAATTCTGACTAATGTTTTATTATTATTAATACGTAAATATTTTATCTGGTCCTCTTAAAACTTGTAGATGCTATTAAAGTATCTAGCAGTTTATTGATGTACAAAAATAGAGAAATATTTGTCATATATATTTTTATGCTGATTGCTTTTCATTACTAAAATAGCTAGAGTTGCCTGCATGTGATAAATCTTCTTGATATCAGCAAATTGTTAAACATTCTATAAATTAGATGTTTCTTTTTTTACATATTCATAACTACTTTGATAAGTTTTATTCATATTAGTATTAGCAAATGCTGTATATTTATTTATATTTTTAGGGTGCACCTCGGAGGTCTGGTCGGGCTGTAACTAAACAAGAACCAACTTCTGGGAGAGATGCTACAAGGTCTCGCCGTAGTTCAACGGCTGCTCAAACTGCTGCTTCAGTTGCAGACTCAAAAACTCCAAAAGGTAGGAGTAGTGTCAGTTCACGCAGAGAGAGTGCATCTCCTTCAGATAACCGTAATAGGAGTGGAAGAGAAGGTGTTGAATCTCCTGCAACTCGTGTAAAGTCTACTCGAAGGAGTACTGGCCGTGTCAATTACAAAGAAAGTGATGGTGAAGAAGAAGCAGCTACTCCAAAATATGATGAAAACTTTGAAAGTAGTGAAGAGTTTGAAGAATCAGAATCTGATGAAAAATCAAAGAAGAAAGGGAAAAATAAGCCTGTCAAAGCAGTTACAAAAGGCCGTGGAGCAAAAGATAAAGCTAAAAGTGCTCGGGGTCGTAAAATTAAGCCTACAAAGAAAAAAGCAGATGAGGAAGAAGATGAAGGTTTTGAAGCTTCAGACGATAGTCAAGAACCTGAAATTGTTGTCACAGGAAGAAGAGGTAAAACAACTCCTGTGAAAGAGGCACCTAGATCTGCTAGAAGTAAAAAACAAAAAACTGAAGCTGCAGAAGTGAAAAAACCTGCTGCTGAAGAAAAACCAAAACCATCAAGAAGGAGTGCTCGTGCGGCTTCTAACAAAGAAGAAACTCCTAAAAAGAGGCCGTCACGTAGAGTGCAAGCTAAACGTTACACTGAAGAAGAGGAGGATGAAGAGGATATTGAAGAAACTCCTGTCTCTAAAGAAGAAGAAGATGAAGGAGAAGTAGAGGAATATGTAAAAAGTGAGACTGAAGGTAGTAAAAAGCGAAAGAGAGCTAGCACTTCTGAGGCATCCAACAAACGCGTGAAGGAAACAGAATCAGTAGAAGATGACAAAATTCAAGCTGATGATGACAAAAGAGTAGAGGATGTGGATGAGAAAGAAACTGAACCTGAGACTAAAGTGGAAGTGAAAGAGGACAAAACAGACAAAGATCAGTCTGTAGAGCCAATGGAAGTAGATGAGTCGGATTCCGAAGAAGTGAAAATTGAGGCTCCTGCTAAAAATGAAACAGAAGTTGAAGAGGTTAAAATTAGTGAGGATAAACCAGAAGATCGCAAAGATAAAGATCAGGCTATCTTTTCGTTAGCAAAAGAAAAGCTGAGTGCTGCAAATAAGCAGGAAAGTATTGATAGTTCTGAAAATTTAGATGAAAGTATGCATAGTTCTGATTCAGAACAAGAAAGTAGAGCAGAACATTCTCTATCATCTGGTTTAGAAGATTCTCAAGATTCCAAAGATCAGAAAGAAGAAAAAGTTCCTGATACAAAAGAATCCATAGAAAGAAATGAAAAACGAGATGATATCGACCTTTCTTCTCAATCTTCTGAGAGTTGCCAGCAGATAGATGATAATTCTGATGAACCAAAAGTTGTAACGATCTCTGGTATTCCTTCTGAACCTGAAAAAATTGTAGATAAAGCAGAAAGTAATGTAGATATAAAAAATCGTGTTGATGCTGTGAAAAATGATAGTTCTTTCTTGCCTGAAAGCAAACCTTCAGAGCCAGATATATCCCCTTCAGCTCCTCCTTCTGCAGGAAGTACAATTCCATCAATCATTTCACATTCCAAGGAATCAAACTGTGACGTACCAGTGAATGGATCGGAAGGTGTGACAGTCACAAATCCTCCAGCTCATGTTATTCATAGTACTTCCAGTGTTATCTTAGAACATAAAGAAGATCCATCTCCTAAGGCTAATGGAGCTCATAATGATATACATAATAACACCACTGCACCTCCTGACCAGTATTATTTGTTACCTGGCCGTAAATATGTTGCAAACTGTAAAATAACTGAAACTGTCCGGCAAGCTGTTAAAGACCAGACTTTTGGTTTCGTTTCTTACAATTTGGGAAGTCCGAGTTATGATCCATATTTGCAGAAAGACAAAATTTTGAATGAGTTGAATAATCTCAATGCTCATGTAATTTGTTTGCAGCAAGTAGCAAAACCATTTTTTATTAGTGTGTTGCAACCTAGTCTTGATGCTCTTGGTTTTAAGGGTGATTTTTGCCAACCTGAGGACAGTTTAAAAGGTATAGTTACCTTTTACAAAACTTCTCTCTTCAGAATTACCGATCGGTCAGAAGTATCATTAAAGCATTTGATTGAGAAGGTAAGTTATCTGTGCATTATATTTTTAATATTGGTGTACATATCTGTGCGTATTTTTTAATATTTAGTCAAATGTTGCATTTCAGTTTTAGCTGGTTTGTAGTTATTCATTTAAGGTTTGAAAAGGGTTTTGTACCTGAGTAAAAGGTTATTAATTTATTTATCTGCTTTAAGATTTCTTGTGATTATCTGGAAAAAATGTTTAAATAAAAAGGCTACAAAAATATTATTTCTAATTAATATTGAAAAGGTTTTTACATTTTTTAACACCTGAAATCAATTTACTTGTGCAGAAGGATTGGCTAGCATTGCTGTTAAATGGAAGCAATAAGTTTTTCTTTATTTTGGCTGGAAAATAATTGGTAGTCACTTCTAAAGTTTTTTAATCCAAAGGGTTAATAACATGATATTTAATAAATATTAATAAATAAAGATAATGCACAAAATGTTTAAAAAAAAAGCCCCCTTGGATGTAATTTAAAATAAGAACTCTTTCAGATTTTATTTTTTTACGAGCTACATCTTTCTGTCACTATATAAACTCTGCTGATTATGATTTCAAATGGTGTCTTGCTCCAGCCGTATGTTTCTTTTTCCACCATTTGAAGAACCCTAGCACCTGCTTGATATTTTTTTTACATATGAACTCCGGAATGTGCAAATCGGGAGTATTGACTGTTATTCCCTAGTCTATTAAAACTTGTACAAGAGACTTATAGTTTTACCTTCATTGTAAATCATTGTATTGGTAAATCCAATAAGCATATTATCAAACTATAAATAATAATAATAATAAAATTTCCGTTCTTAAACTGCAGCTTTTAAGTAGTTCTCTCCGACAGCAATTAATTTGCATTATGGTTATGGTGTGAAAGTTGGCAACTGTTTGCTCTTTTGGGGGGAGCAAATTTTGGTTTCTTTGTTGATACACAAGTACCAGGATTATTACTTTTGCTGAAATTTCTTGTCTTACTACTACCTCTAATCTATAGCTACTTTTTGAACAATTCTTTTCTTGATTAAATGAGTACAGAGGAGTTAATTCCTGATAGAATATGATAGGAAAACTACATGTTTCTACCATTTGTCATTGCTATTTTGAGTATTGTATTTTAAACAAATGATTTTATGTTCTGTACCTTGAATTCTTTTAAGTTAATTCTTAAGCTGGTTGGTCTGTTTCTATTGTTTAGCTTGAAGCTGTTAGATGAGTATGAAGATCTAATTGCATTCCCCCCCCTTTTTTAATAGGTGCCATTAGCCAAGAAGAGAGGGGGACCTGTGCCTGATTGCTTTTTAAATTGCCCAAGTTTTTATTATAATCCATATCAAACATAAGATTGCTATTTTGCCTAATTTTAAGTTTTACTTTGGCATGTTTCTTTTCTCTCTTTGTTTTCATTCCTTTAAAATAGTTATAAGTAACAAAATTATTAACAAGGATACTGACAGTATTTTCTATACTGATAAATAATTGTTTGTTTAGATTTATATCTACTCAGAAATAAGAAATTGTGAATATTTCATTTTCTATGAGCTGTACGTAGTCTTAACTAGAGTTGATTCTCGTTATAAGAAAACTTGGATAAAGTATTTAATTTTCTCTGCATTGTACATATTTTCTTAACTAGAGTTGGTTCTTGTTATAAGAAGGAAAACTTGGATATTAAGGAGAAGAGGTCTTAATTATGGTAAGAATAATATAAAAACATAGGATTATTTTCCATTTATCTTAAAGAAGTTGTTAGTTTTGATTAATTATGTAATGGGTAATTCCTTTTTAAAGCAACCACTGCAATGATCCTGGGACAAAATTTGAGATTTTCACATCTCTGATTAGGTGATTTAGTTTTCCAGTTTTAGAAACTAAGCATGTGGCCACTTTAGCAAGAAAGTACCATTTAATGTTAAAAGTAATTTTTTTCAATACATTCTTATTTTTATGGCCTTCATTTCATAAATAGTGTCAAGATTATTGATAAATCACCAACACAAACCATCTTCAAATTTCCAACAATCCTAGTGATCATCATTTATAGTTTGAAGAGTTCTGAGTAAATCATGTGTTATCTTGTAATTTTTCTCATCACAAGAAGATCCCTGAGTATTCTGTGTGATTCCTACATATTTTTTTTTTTTTGAAAAAAATTTGTTAGCAATTTTTGATTTCCCGACAAATGAGGAAGATGATTCTTCGGTTGATCTTTACATTATGGTAACTTGCCGATTTTTTGGCGAAAATTTGGCGACCAACTCTCCTACAGCAACCCTCTATTTTTTTTTTTTTTTTTTTTCCCATTGCCATTTTGTCTTCACGAAGTAAAGACATGTTTCTTTTCTTTTTATCTACTGAACACCTCTTCCAACAATCTACTAGCCGAATTACACTTATGCTAGAAATTTTATCTAACAAAACTGCTTAATCATGACAAATATTCACTACAAAATTGGGAAAAAGTGCACAATACCATACTCCTTACGCGTTTTTCAAAATAACACATACACATAAACCATGTACACATCGACTTATTTTTACTTAAAAAAACATCCCAGAATTACACAAAAATGGCATTGCGCACACTCTTCACTATATCCATGTACACTGCTTTTTTTCTCATAAATTAGAAAAATTTCACGAAAATACATGACAATTTTCTGAATCTTTAAACCCTGGTGTTAAAAAAAAAAACATATATGAAATTACCTGATCATGAAAAAGTATATACCCTTTCCAATATGAACATTTCCACATATAAAATAAATAAAATATCCAAAAACTTTTACCTCTAAATCATCTATTATATTATAAACGTCACCAACGAATTCATACCGCAAGCATTACAAATACTTAGTGTCAAATATTTAAGTTATTTCCATGCACGTTTACTTCAACTAAAAGTTATACCAAATTCCTACAAACATAAAATTCACAAAATAAACTATCATTTAATTAAATATCACTAAACCATGTACACGTCGACTTATTTTTACTTTAAAAAAAAAATCCCAGAATTGCATAAAAATGGCATTGCGCACTCTCTTCACCATATCCATGTACACTGCTTTTTTCTCATAAATTAGAAAAATTTCACAAAAATGCATGACAATTTTCTGAATCTTTAAACCCATTAAAAAGAAATATATGAAATTACTTAATAACAAAAAAGTATATACCCTTTCCAAATATGAACATTTCCACGTATAAAATAAATAAAATATCCAAAAACTTTTACCTCTAAATTATCTATTATATTATAAACGTCACCAACGAATTCATACCGCAAACACTACAAATACTTTAGTGTCAATATTAAATTATTTCCATTTACTTCAACTAAAACGTATCTACAAATTCCTACAAATATAAAATTCACAAAATAACTATCATTTAATTAAATATAATTAAATTCAAAAACACTACTTAAAATATAATAAGCACATACATTAAATTAATAAAAATTAGCATACAATCCTAATTACTTTAAACTAAATCATTGCTAATAACAATTTTCCCAATAATACCAAATTACTTTACTTCCACCTTACATTTAGAACAATGCATAAAAAAATATCCTCAAATAATTAAAAATACTAACTTACCTAATCTTCTTCAGAATCTTGGTTACATGGTGGATACACTTTTATATGGATTCAATAAACTTATTGAACGATTTTTTCTGCGAATTTTTCCTCCACACTTCCTCCGCTAAATAAAAAGCAAAATTCTCTTATCACATCTAGAATTCACTTTAGACAGCGCCATACAATCCAAAATTATTCAACCCTACTTCACACAACACACAATGAAGCTAATACAAAATAATATACAGCCACAGATATTTTCCACATCCCCCCTTTTCCGCTTAAAGAACCGTAATTCGTCCATTAATATCACATGACATATCCCATGATCTCTCATTTCCCTCACACAAAATAATGCGTAATCGGAACTGAGTACTGCTCACATTATTACCAAAGTCCCAGGTAGTAACCTTCATCGCCTCCAAAATGTCGCCAAAGTACCAGTTACCATATTCTAAAGATCAGCCGATTCTTCTTTTCGAGAAAGCCACATTTTGTCTTTCACTCGAATATGCAAAAAATAGTCATTAAATAAAATTACATATCGATGAAAGCATTTGGAGATGCAAACTAGAAATGTTACAAGTGAAAGAAATGCATATTTTTGCAGCTGGTTCAGTTGTTTTGGAATATTTTTTGTAATAGTTCTGTGATTTATGTTCTATGGGGCAAATGAACTGATGTTGATGAAGTGGTGGGAAACAACTCAGTCTTTATGAAAATAAGCTATTGACTGTGAACAATTTTATTAGAGGTAGACAAGCAAAAATGTGGACATAAACAAAAAATCTTTCAGTATGGGGCAAAAACAAAACCTCCATGGCTCTTTCAGAATATCGGATATTTGGTGTATTATGCTGAGAAACTGATGTATTCTTTCTTGGCTTAAGTTCCAAATAGAGAGGTGACTATAGTCATGCCAAAAATCCTCAGCCATGCGTAAGAGAAATTGACAATTTATTCAGACTATTAGCAAGCGTATGGAACAAAGCAATTAAAAAAAGGTTAGAGATATTTTACTGGTAACCATTTTATTGGTTCAACAACAGTTGCACATATGCAAAATGTTGAAAGACAGGTGCTTCGGTAGGTGGTGGAATAAAAAGCAACAAGGCAAGGTTAATTATAATTCTGAGGTCGTGTATCGTTGCAGAGTTTTGCAAAAATCCATGGGACAGGAAAAAACTTCTGATGCCATTGTAGAAGCAATTGCAGAAACATAGCAGCCACAAAGTGGATGGAAGAAGTAAATATGAACTTGGTGATTAAAAACATTGAGAGGTCTAATAATAAAGAAATATCCTTCTTCCCCCCCCAATAGTTTTTTTAAAAAGTGTGTTTTTTTTTGTTTTTTTTTTGCTAACATTGAACCTATAGGGCAATTTTTTTTAGATGTTAATTTTAATGTGTCTAACATTA